TGCTTGCTTTCAGTCATTCATGTAAAAATCTGTTATTTAATTTTGCTTCTGTTTAGTTTTTTTCTAAAGCTGCAAGGCTCTGGTGCACCATATTGTATGCCAGGAGTCAGGACGACTAGGCTGTTCCCAGGTCTCCGGAATCAGCTCCATCAGCCCTCCATCTGCGCCTTCGGATCCACCAAATATACTCTAACTGTAGTTCATGAAGTATTAAAAGGACATTTTAAATGTATTTTAAGAAATACACTTAAATTGCACTAAATATACTTAAAGTGGTTCCATTTTAACACAATTTCAATATATTAAATATATTACAAATAGATTAAAATCCAACTTAAACATATCTTGAAATACACTTAATATACTTAAAGTTTTTTCAAAATAATACATTTAACATGCACTTAGTATAGTATAATTTAAATATAGTAAGTATGTCTGAAAAAGCACAATTTAAATATATTTCTTTTTCACCTGGGGTACTCTTATGCACACATCATCATTTACATCCCTGAAGCTTTTTAGTCTTTACACTTTTAGCAGCAGCTAAACACACACACACACACATGCAAGCACACACTTAAACACAAGAGCGATCCATCAAAGCATTCAGAGCTGTCGGGGGTAAACAGGAGAAAAGGGCCGTAAGCAAGAATCTTCTAACACAGATTTGATTTGCCTCGATTTGCCTTAAAAAAAAGAAGAGAAGCCCGCTGATATGGCTTCAGTCGTATTGCATTTGCCAGCAGGCATGTCACTTTAGCGCTGTCAAAATTCTTACTCGTGGCTGCTGTGTAATCTGATTTACCAGCAGAGGACAAGATGCTTGGAACACCAATTCTGGATTGTTATCAAAACGCAACTGACATGCCTATTAGTGCCTTTCATCAAGGTCTGACGTGTCACCAAATTATAAACTTTCTGAGCAATATTCCGGTGTTTTCTGTCGGATCCTATGTTTTTGGCAGGAGGGGAGGGGGAGGCAGCCAGGTTTTAACATCCAATCTGGCCAGCGCTCCCTCCGCAGATGCTTGTGTGATGATGGAAGCGAGCAAACACGAGAGAGAGACCTTTTCTCATCGCACACGTGTATTCACGTGTATGCACCGATCCGGCGTTGCCAGATGCACTGCATGATGGGTAACCTGAGGGCTGCACGCAGGCAGAAAATTAGACAAGGAGGTATTGCGCATAGAGGAGCCATCTGCTAGTTTAATTAAACTTTTTCTCTCTTTTTTCTGTTTTTTTTTTTTTTTTTCTAGGTAAACTGGCCTAATGATTTACATGTGTACGTGAAGTTTGGTAATCAACCCTGGTTATTCCACCAAAGTGCTTGTGTTGAAAATTTCAGTTGGAAAATTCGACATTAATTTATGAGTGAAAAACAGAAATGTGGCAACCTCCAATTAGGACCCTTCTCCATGTCCACTGACATTTTTGGGGTAATTGTGTTTTCTTGATGGGACCCTCTATATCGTGCGAGCAAACCGCTGTACTTCTGTCGCTTCAGAGGAGAACATGAAGAGGCAGCCTCTAATACATCCAGGAGATTGGCTGGTAAAAATTCAAATTACAGTGTGTGTGATGTCAATTATTCAAATAGACGCTATTTTTAAAATAGTAAAAGAGAGAGGAAGGCGAGATGATTTGGGGCCGGGGGAGCAGAGGGGATGAGGGACCCACAAATCATGTTCTTCACGCTGGGAAATAACAAATACCAATCTAACACTTGAATGAGCCCTAACTCTCTGTACATATTTTGCCCTGACATTGCCTTCTCAAGCCAAGCATTAAATCCTTATCCATTGCACACAGCACTGATAGCTTCAAACATGAACAGCAAAAAGGACTGTGTGTTTGTATATGTGTGCACTCTGCTCAGGAGCTTTATTTTCCCCTGTCCAAATGCTAGTCTAACCTGCCTGATTTACAGAAATCTGGCAACCAGAACCACAAGGTCACTTTATACTTTAACCTCAATGTACAAATGACCCCCTAATATCTCTCTCTCTCTCTCTCTTTTCAGGTGGCCAACCTCGCCTGCTCCATCTCCAACAACGAGGAGGGGGTGAAGCTAGTACGCATGGCTGCTACACAGATCGATAGCCTGTGTCCTCAGGTAAACGGCCTCAACCTTTTATCCATCCACTATTCAGGTTTCTATAACCTCTTGCAGCAGTTTTATATGGTGCTGACAAATAGTAATTCACTTAACACATTGTGCCACTTATTCACTATAATGCACCTTATTTGCAAAACTATTTATTCCATATAGCACTATTTGCCCACCGCAACTACCATTGCACTATTACCAGCCACGGAAAGCACAGAATTGCCTTTAGAAGAGATGCTGGTGTACCTTTTTTATTGATGATGGCAGCAGTTATTCCTCAAATGATGGAGAAGAGCATAGCCAGGCACATATCCAGACCTGTCATATTTATTAAAATATGACTCACATTAGATTTTTTTTAGCTATTCAAAGTCAACATGAAAAGCTGTTCGAAACCCATTCAGAAAAAAATGTGAAGAATCAGTCAGAGGAAAAATCTAATGAAAACATAAAAAAGGCTTGGTTACATTATACCATTTTTTAAGAGACAACATGCACAATGATAATCATTTGGCAGAATGTGTATTAGAAGAATATGGTCTATTCAAAGTCAGTATAAAATGGCATTGGGCATTTTTTGTGATGTATTTATGAGAAATGTAGATCAATTTGATTTTATCCATTTGGGAATTCATTGAATTGTGAAAAGCTGTCACCAAAATGAAAAGACTAATGATGTAAGCAAAGTTGAGGCATTCAGAAATCTCTTTGGAGTAACATGCACTAATCAATTTTTCATAATAAGTGTCAGAAAGAAATCTGGACTGACCATGGAGTCAATTGGTTATGTGTAAGGCTCCAGTTTAAGTACTTTCACAGTAATTCCTTCTAACATATCTTAACATTCTGACTAATAAACTGACCCTCCGCAAGTGAAGCTACCCTAGAAAACTCTGGAAATAATTGTGAGTTGTTCAAGGTTGTTTCCTCTCAGCAGTGTAAAGATCTACTAAGAGAATTCGGCAAAGACAAATTTGACTCTAGTTGAGAATTTATGAAACGTCATATGACTCAAAGTTGTAAAAGCAGAAGCTGTTCTACTTTATAGGTTCATAAGGAATGCAAAAATGTACAACATTTTTAATTAAAAACATGCACATGGTTTGATAAAATGTCTGGTTAATTAAAAAAAAAAGACTTGGATTCACTCTTTTGTTTATAACATTTGTCAGCAGCATGACTCTACAATTAATTTTGTAGTTTTTCGTAGATTTATGTAATTTAGGTAGATTTATGTTCAGAATCATACCATTTTCCTTCTCACAGGTAATCAATGCAGCCCTGACGTTGGCCGCACGCCCTCAAAGCAAGGTTGCTCAGGACAACATGGATGTTTTCAAGGACCAGTGGGAGAAGCAAGTACGCATCCTGACCGAGGCTGTTGATGACATCACTTCAGTTGATGACTTCCTGTCTGTTTCAGGTAAAATGGAAACACATTGCTATATTCTATGGTTTTGTGAGACCACCATTGAGTACTTTCTGGCTGGTGGTGAACAGGAGATCAAGCAACCATTCTGTAACATTGTAAGGTTTTAAGAGCTTTTTAAGCTTAGAATTTTTATTTTTTTTATGTGAATGCCCATCATCCTTCTCTTGACGTCTAAACTCTCCACCCTGAGTACAGCAGTAGAATATAGCCATGTCTATGTATCCCTCTTTATAATGGACACTCTAAAATGTCAGCTGCCTCCACCATCAAGATCCCATTATCTTGAATGGGAATGTCCATCCAAATGTGAACGTAAATGGCCATATAATTCAACATAAATATGAACAGTTATGACCCTTTGCATGTGTAGCCTTGCCTTGAAACAGTGCTCACACTGTATTGTTATTTTGTCTTCTTGTTTTGCATTCATGAAAAAGATTATTGTATTTACAATGGACATACACTTGGTGCCAGCTATTGTTTCTGTCCAGTTTCAACTGAGCACTGGACTCAAAACTATGTATGGCTTTTAACGATAATATGCAGAACTGGATAAAAAAAAAAAAAACTTCTTAAATGCCTTGTCTGCTATTTATATACAGTATATATAATATAGTGTATGCTGTGAATGCGTATGGAGAGGTTTTCTCTGATAGTTCACCGATTTTTGCTGATAAACAATATAATCATGTTTAACTTAAGTGTTTCATCTTGTAATTACTGTATAAATTGAATTCTATAATTTTCACAGTTCTTTTCTTTGTAAAAGGCACGCCAACTTCACAGTCTTACCTCCCACCTCTGAAAAAACTGGCTCTCCTCTCCATCCTCTTCTCTTTTTTTGCCATATTTTGCTGGCTGAAGTGTAGTATATCCTGTCTGGATCCTGCACAAAAACTATTAGAAATAATACTGTATACTCATACTATAGCCAGGGATTTCAAAGCAGAGATTATAATAAGTCAATACTAAATACACAGCAAATGAATGAATGGAATCCTGGATGTTGTGGGCCAGATCTTTTGTATATCTGACAGGTCTATGTGGGCTGTATGAAATGAAGCAGGAGGCAATATCGGTATGCAGCCCACCGCCTGTTGTTCAGAAACTGGTGTAGTGCATTCCAGTTTGGAAATATTCTCCTGCAAACCTGTGAATAAAACATGCCAGGACTCAACAATAAGGATTTTTATATTATTATTATTCTCTGGCCTGGCCGGGCGAGAGCACTTGCCCTGCCAACATTTTCACTGGACACAAAATAAATATAATTTTTTGCAAAAAATTTTTATACTGTATATATATATATATATAATATATATATATATATATATAAACATTTCTGCTTGCAAAAATAAATAAAATAAAATAAATAAATTGTATGTAATTTTGTAAACAGAGTGTTTGAAAGTTGTAAACAGTGTTTTGAAAAAGCAGAGGAGTCATCAATACTTTGATATGGAATAGGGAATTAAAGTGTAAAGTAGATGTGCTGATGTGCTGTATCAGAACATCTGAATAGCCAAGGTTTTTCCTGAGTCTCTTAAAAAAATAACCTGCAATGATTGTTTTTTAATTTTTTTATTTTTTTTATTTATTTGGTTTAGCCAAGCCTAATTTTAAACATGTTTTGTTTCATTTAAAAGCTTCCATACAAGACAAGTTCTTATTCTACAGCTGCACTGCTTTATCCAAATCTAAACAGATCAGCTTATAGATCAGTTAAGGCAATGCTCTTTTGACCTGTTGCCAGAAAGATATTAGAAGATAAACAAAGCATTTTTTTCCTAAGCTACTTAAAGAAGTATCTTATCAGAATAAGAGACACATAACAACTATTGTTTAGGTCCACCCAGAGATGCATTTTGAAAGCTGTTGGTCTTTTGTCTTACAAGTAGTTCAAGAAGAATGTTGGAGCGGTTAGAGCATATGCTGTAAAATACCCCCCCAACCCCCCATTGCTACTTTTTATACTAGGTTAACTTTGTTAGAATATATCTCCAATGCATTAAAAAATGTCAAACTCCAAAAGTGACTACAGTTATTGGACAACAGTAATACTTGAATGTGTATCCTCTTTGTTTTATCTCATCTCTCCACAGAGAACCACATTCTGGAGGATGTAAATAAGTGTGTGATCGCCCTGCAGGAGGGGGATGTGGACACGCTGGACAGGACAGCAGGGGCAATCCGGGGCCGAGCCGCTCGTGTGGTGCACATTATTAATGCTGAGATGGAGAACTACGAACCTGGCGTCTACACTGAGCGTGTTCTCGAGTCCATCAAGCTCCTCTCTGAGACCGGTGAGAACAAAGATCACACACGCACCTGAGTCCTGATCTTGTCTCATGTTCACTAAGGCATGAACTTATGGTAGAGATGGGGACAGATGGACAGAGGAGATCAGGAAGCTCTTGGAAGAAGGAAGTTAGAGGAGAGAGGGGTAGACAGACGAGCAAAGATGGTGAGGCCGGAGATACCACCTGTTCCCTCCTCTGGCACTCATTCTTTGCTCATTCATTTTTCATCTGTTTTCCCCCAACCCCTCCACCTTTGACAGTCTAGTGCCAGCTTTCAGGATGCGGCAATTTAGACACTGACAGACAAGGCCGAGGACCAAAACATACCAAGTAATGCAGAGATTTGTGCATAGCCTTTCCAGTGCTTTCAAGACACAATATCTGACAGGAAGCAAAAAAGCCTTCTATCTTAGGTGTTAATGTGTGAGAAACATCTCACCTGACACTTTTTGATGTATAGTTGTTCCGTCTAAATGCGCTTCGACGATTGTTCGGAATCAACAAATGCAGGGTGGCTGGAAAATGAGCACTCAAAATATTATTCTGGCGGCGGCGCTTTGTCCTGCCTCCCTTGTTGTGTCTAAAACATTACATTAGACTATTTTGACAGCCGGCATTGTTTAGAAGAGTGAGCGGAATATGAGAGGAAGAAAATAGCAGTCCTGCTTTCAGGGTTGAGACTGCAATATTTTTGTTATTATAAAATTATCGCTTTAATCATATTATTAAATTTAGTTTCACAGGCAGGCACACAAAAACAATGAATATTTGTGACACCTGACCAACTGAAGGTATAAATGCATTCGTAATGTGTCCAAATGGATCTTCCCTGGTTCTTCTCATCATCTTCCACTTAAACAGTTTTTTGTTCCTTCACATTACTAAAATATTTAAAATTAAGCATTTAGATGTCCCTGTCAAAAATAGCATTAAGTCAAATCGATGTGATAATGAGTGGTCTGGTGGTTAGACCTTATCCAATAATCATGTTACACTCAGATCTGATCTGTAAGGTCAGAAATTGAGCCGCATTCAGATCAGATTGTGTTGGTGTGTTTCCATTGTATCCTGATTTGCAAAAATTCTTATTACACTGTCAGTTGGTGCAATTTATTCCTAGTGAATCCTCTCATTTTTGTGCATTGTATCATTCAAATTTTTCCTCTATTAATCCATGTTGGAGGGCATAGAGAGCTGGAGAGTTGATACCACCATCTGTGTTACACTGCTGCACAATGAGTCACATGTACTTCATGTTACTTATCTGTTGAAAAGTATGAAACATTACATTTAATTTACCCTGTCTTTCATCTGCCCCTTAAAAAGGGACTTTTAGAGACTTAATGAGGACCAAACACTAGCATTTCATTACCGCCTTCAGTCAATTGAAAATAAAACGCCTACCTTTGTCTTTGTCTAGCACACTCTTTTCCGGAAATCACAAGTTGAACAGTTAATGCTCGCTCAGCTTGAATGAGAAACTGTTCTGCTAGTTGCTTCAGCAAAACCAAGAGAAATATCTGCATGCTCGATTGAGAGTGATAATTGAATTGTGAAAGGGCTGGACGCCCAGACTGGCTCTCATCTTGTCTGTATTCACTTTGATGAGGTGGTACTTTTCATTTGATTTCACTTTTTTTCTCTGTTTCTGTCTTTGTTTTGGGATGTTGGTGCCACCCAGGGCTGTCGTCAGGGAAAGGGGCAAATGAGGCCCTTTGACGAGAGGGACCCACTGAGTTCCTCTGTCATATAGTCTACTCATTAGGCCCAGGGGAGGGAGGGCCACCCATAAAAATTTTGTCCCATTCCCCGTGAATTTAAGTGACAGCCATGGTGCCACCGCATAAATGGAATTGAACCATAAAGCATTGCAGCATTGCAACATTGATTCTTCTAGACCTTTCATTATTGCAGACGACTTGGCACTCAAAATGTCAATGAATTTTTGAAAGTTTGCAGGATTAGACAAGACGTAGCATTGGGGTGGGGGCTTAGTGAATTAGCATATTAGAAGTGAATAGCATCTGAACATGTTTTCCATTTAATTAAGATGTTTGCTACTCAACTAAGTGGCTTTATCAATTGAATAATGGAGAAAATGTACAGGGGCACAATGGTCCAGTGGGCAATTAGAGTAAAACTGCAGGTACTGGTCTCTAGTTTTGTGTCACGACAGATGTTTTGTCTCACAACACAAGGTCAGGGTATCGCTTTTAAAAGTTAGTAAAAACTAGCAGCTCCATTTCCTCAAAAGTGTCTGTTCCTATCTATTTCTTCAACTTTTTGGTTTAGTTCCATATTGGCAGATGAACATCTTTTAGCCTCATTGGAATATACTAAACTTTATCCTTTTTTTTTTTTCAAGGCAGTGTAAATATAACAAAAGTCCAACTGGTCCAAAGCTCTATACAGATACACCGCTAAAGGAACTTTAGCACACAGTGCTCAGAAATCTCGAATTGTGTCCTTGAGCTTGAAAATCAATAGTCTAATAGCAAAGCTGTGATGACTTTCCCCTCTCTTTATCCTTTCCATCCTCTTCCCGATCCAAACTAATCTTCGTGCGGGAAAAATTACCCCATCATTAAGGTTATGCTCAGGCCCCCAGTAGATTAAAAATGAGAAATATGGCTGATGTAATAGTGCCAAGTAGAAGGCAGCAGTAGCAATACTGTCATGGAGTATGGCAGAGTGAGTAGGGCTCATGCCAAAGGGTGACCATGCAGAGATGAAATATGGCCACCTAATCACTGCCCTCCGTCTAACACACACACACAGACTTGCACATGATTTTTATGGCAAATATAGTGTTTCACTGACAGGTTGAAGGTCATGTTTGCTCAGGTACCAAAAACAGCAATGATTTCATACAGCCAAATGACCCCACAAAATATTTTTCCTCAGCATGTCACGACCCAAGAGTCTGCACGGTGAGACATGGGAGGCAGCGCATGCAAAAACAACAAGGATAATAGAATTAGTTCATGCCTGCCTACTACAATGAATGCACCCACATAGCAAATGTTTTCTGGCCCAGCTCCGGGCCACACAATCACTTTTCCCTCGGCCCAAGTACCACAGAATGACAGCCATGAAGTGACCCAGAACTGGATTAAAGACAAGGGCCACACATGGGCCATAACCGGCCCGAATCTCAGCCAGTTAATTACCCTTAACTGGCCCTGAACTGGGCCAAAACAGGTTTTATTATTGGTACCAATTCTCAGCCTTAAGTAAACCAGAATCCCCAAATCTGAGCCACACCTGAGCCTTATATAGCCCAGACCCAATACAGAATCCTAATATATGATATTATTGCATTGTGTGTCACTATAATCGCCCTTATTCATTTTGTGAAATGTTTTGGCAATGTACACACAAACTATGCCAATAAAGTACATTAAACTGAATAGAAAATCAGCCTTAAAATCCACAAATCATGTAACTGTGCAATAAAAAATGTATTGCATTGAACATTTTTTATTTTATAAAGAACATATCAACCAATAAAGAGTGAGTGTATAAAGTATACAGTCTATAAGAGAAACGTAACATGCAGACATATTTAATCACAATAATTTATTGCAGAAATGTCAAAGGGCAGTGCCACAGTAGTCCAAATGAAGATACATTGCAGTCGCAGTCCTCTCTGGCAGGATATAATAGTTTAGTGCGAGGAGCAGGGCATAATTTAAGTTGTTAAACGCTGAAAATACTATCCCGATCCACTCTGTGAAGGCACGTGTTTCTTATTCAAAACACGCATCAACGGAAATACGGCATGTCGCAATCTATGACGAAACTGGTGAGAGCCAATGAGCGTCTGATATCGCTGCCGTAAAACTTATTGTAAAACTTCTTAACGGCAATTTCTTTAATTGTTACTATAGCTACAGAGGAAGGAGATACATATCGCCGATGAATGGTTTAAATTTGGATCTGTTCCTCACACAAAGCATCACATGGATACCAAGGATTTGAATAAAAATAAAATACGTTTATGATCATTTTATTTAATGCTTGTGCATGACAGCATATGAATAAAATGATGTGCCCCATGGTAAACCAATAAATATTTCATGAAAATGGTTAAATGATATCTCTCTCTCTCTCTCTCTCTCTATCTATGTAAGGATTCTAAGATTATTTGTACTGAGAATAATATAAAATATAATAAAATTATAATTAAGTGCAGTTTAATGCAGTTGACTGATTTACTGATTTGCTTAATTTAGACAATTTAAACAATACTACACTTCATTAAAATATATGTGATAATTTAACCATTATCATGCAATATTTTATTTATCTTGTTTACCATGGGTCTCATATTTGCTGTCAGGTCACAAGCCTGATTTGGGCCACATTATCACTGGACTGATCTGGGCCACACTCCTCCCACCAACAATCGGCCCTCATATTGTTTGCTGTGATCCACGCTGTGCCATCATTGCCACACATGGCCCAGCTCTGGCTTAAAGGGTACATGCCACTGCCGACAGGAGGCCAGCAGTGCCATTATGAGGCCACATTTGGGCCAAGACTGTTTGCTATGTTGGGCAGAAAGAATTGCAGATCCTGAAGAAAGGGCAGTGCTAACAAATTCCACAGCCTAAGGACCAAAATGTAAATGAAACCAAAGTACAAGTGACCTCACTTTTGTCAAAGGAATCTGTTATCCATTTCAAATTACTTGTAAGACCTATTAGCATTATGTCTCATTGCGTTTTCAAGTATATCATCTTGAGCCCATTAGGCTGGTCTGACCTCAGCCTCTCAAACAGAAAAACCCAGTTTGAGCATGTTTTATGTTATTCACCTCAGCATTGTGCGATATCTCAAAACACTTATGCAAAAACATCATTTGAAGGCTCATAGAACAGATCTTACTGCTTGCTTTATCTGGAGTTAAACACTTTAAGAAAATAATCCCCTCCAACATGGTTTTTATTAGCTCCTTTCATCATTTCTCACTGGTCGGAGTTAAATTTGCTCCTCACTAGCAGCAACTTTACTCATTAATGGCTTGAAGAACATTTAAATATTTCTATTTAAAAGTCACAGCAAAATTCCCCAAAGCTCATTTTACGCCTCTCCAATAAGTGGATTAAAATGAATTAAATATGTGTTAAAGCAAGATGGGGTTAGAAAGAAGAAAGGAAATGAAATAAAAAGACTTTGCCACACCTTTTTGAATGTTTTGCATAATTTTGTATTCCGTATGTGTTCATTTGAAATTCAAATTGGAACTTGTCCATTTAAGAAGGTAAATAGGCAAAATGGCTGTCAGAGAGGATCCCATACTGGTCTCCTTTTAAAGTCAAACTCAAGTCGGATGCCTGTAATCAAAACCATCATGAAAAATCACAAACCCGGTCTTTTCCTGGAGATCTGCATCCGCTATTATTGTGAATGGCTCTCCGGGCTTTGATTTGGTTTGATGGCTGAAGACAACACTCTAGAATTTTCCTGTCACAGGAGTGTCCTCATAAGACCCACCTTCCCCACGGAGAAGTGTATCTTGGGTCATAATATCCTAGTTCCTTGCTTTTAAAAATCTAGAGACCTTCCCCTCCATGATACATTTGTTGAATATTTTAAGAGCATCGCTTTGGAGCTTGCTCAAGGGCTTAATACGAGGCTTTTTACTGTGCCCATCTTTTTTTCATCATCCACCAAGTGGTCCCGGGCATTGATATGAGCGTGACTTGATGTCGGGGTTAGATCACAATACGGTCTCCCTCCACCAGTGATATTGCCATGGAAACGCAAGATTTCTCCTTCACTTTGGATATTCCTCCCTTCCTCGCCTCGGGTATGCAGGCAGGTCATTCAGTATCAGGTCCGGATGTTGAGCGTGAATCGGTGGGCTGCAGTGCATACTTGTTTAGTACACTCCAACTGGAGACATTAAATCATCAACCCTAGTATTTACTCTGGAGTTGTTAAGGTTTAAAGCTTAGGATTCATAATAAGTCACGATGCAGCATTAGCTGTAAGTATTTTGTCAAAATGGTTACACCAAGGGTAAGTGGTTCAAACACATTTGTTCAGTGTAAACTCTGAAATATGGCTCATCATAAAAACAGATCAAACTAATGTCACATTAGTAAACCTTTCCCAGCCCTCCAGCTGCACTCAATCAATGTCTGTCAACATTGTTCGTACTCGGCTCTTGTCTTCGTCAAACAATCCCTTATTGCACCCAGCATTTAGTGCCCATTTCTGAGGAACAAGTAAATTGAAGGAGGGTAGAGAGCAAGATGATGTAATTTTTTTTTGTCTGCCCACTTGGGGTGATGTGGTATCACTCTGGGATTTTATAGAGTCGCGATGCCTTGGCTCACTGATGGCCATGTGTTCCCAGCAAGGTGAAGTTGTTAATTGGCAAACGTAGGGTGCCCCTTCCACATATTTCCAGGGTGATATTTTCTCGTCTTCCTCTTCCGCTGATGTCCTCGGGCCTGACTGACAGGGAGGAGACGGCAGAAATAGATGTGCCTGCCTGCATTTCGACACTTAGCTTCTTAAGATCACATATTCTCAATTTTTTTCACCTCTCACCATGTATTTTCTCTGATATGTTTGGCACCTGAGGGGAAGGCTGGCTTTTGAGGGATGTATGTAATCCTTTTTTTTTCTGTCTTTCTGTTTTTGCTTTCTCTCAGCCCTCACTCAATTCAATCATCTACATTCTTCTTTTTCACCAGTGATGCCGCGCTTTGCCGAGCAGGTTGAGGTCGCCATCGAGGCTCTTAGCACCAGCCCCCCGCAGTCATTCGAAGAGAACGAGTTCATTGACGCCTCTCGCCTCGTTTACGACGGAGTGCGTGACATCAGGAAAGCAGTCCTTATGATAAGAGTGAGTATCATACAAGTTACATAACGGCACAAGGTCCTTGCTATTCACAAGCAGGGCTTTCACTGTGCCTATTTCCTCAGTGGTTTGTGTGATAAATAACAAAACAACACATTGAGCACATTTCAATTGAAAATATTGTTGTGGGTTACTATGACCCTATCATACATAGCCAGGGTTCTGAACTGATAGGTCCGCAAACATATTTCAGGGGATCTGTGGATATATGATATATAAAATTCATCTTCTTGAGAAATTAGTATTGTTTTAGTGAACAAAGAAATGGTCTGTTAAGCATTATGAAATGCAAGGCTTTTGATGCCAGGGACCCCCAAATATCATGATCCAGTATAAAGAATAATTTATACTTGGTGAAAAAGTAGTGAGCGTGATATTGTAAAGAAAACGTATTTCCAAAACTAATTAATTGGCTTTTATATTGTCACTGTAATAAAGCCAAAGCAAATTGTTAAAATATTATCTTGAGAATGTACAGTTTTTAATTGAAAATTATGTTTATAATAAAATACAAATAAATAAATACACTTTTGAAATGTAGAATAGTTCTCTTTAACTATAGTGAAACAATAAAATAAATAACTTTGACACCTCTAAAACAAATCATTTTGTAGCATTATCCCCCTTGGCAGTTTCCTTGACCCCAGTTTCAAAACCACTGATGTAATGTAGTAACATAATATAAGTTAATGTTGTTAACGAAAAATCAAGTGGATGCACTAGATTGTGAATTAATGCTAAAGGTTATTATTTATGTGGTATATGTACAGCATGTCCTTGGTATACAATAAGAGTTTTTTTTTTTGTTTGTTTATGCCTTTGCCTGTTGTTATATTCTGTTTACCAAGACTGTGAATGTTTCTGGTTCAATATGACTAACACTAGTCTTTTTGTTGCAAAAATACATTTTCTAAGATGCATACTTCCTCCATGAGAGCATCAAGCAATATTGAACAGTGTGTTATCTGTAAATAACGTCAAGCTGAGCTTGGAGATGGTATGAAACAGAGTGATAATTGTAAATAGAGATCCTACTTCGTTTTACTTATTCTCCGAACCACCCCCCACCACAAAAATGAATCACAAAGATAGGTCATACAGAGCGGGTATGCTTTCTGCTGCCCAGAAAAACCATTGCTGTCACCATGTGCTGGTGGCTGCTTTTAAGGTTTGAAAATAGTACAGCTCCCAGAGTAGAAGTGAAATGAAAATACCAGTTATTTGTCAAGGATTGTATCCTGCTAATCAAACCAAGATGGGTTTGTGCACAAATGTACTCTCCTACTTTTATGTCAGCGTGAAATCTCTATCCACTGGGATCTTCATTAAAACATTTAACAAAGAAGACTTTGCCAGTTTGCGACAAGTTACTTTGCTAATTGAATCAATAGTATATCTCAATCAATAGTTAGTGCCACTGCCGCTCACAGTGGCAGAAACAGTGGCTGCTGTCAAGATACACTTTTCTTTGTCTTCAATTTGCTCATTAGTCAGTTAGTGGGACTGATGTTGAAACTACTGGTAGGCAGAATACAAGAAAACAGATCACATCTAAACCCTGAAAAACCTAGAGGCCTTTCCCCCTTCACATATTGTTTGATCCCACTTTAAGAGGGAACTTCTTTTTATATTACTCACAAGAAAGCCAAAAGGGAATTGAAGAACAATGATGCAAGTCACTTGTAACTCAAACTGTGGGACGAATGAATTATTTATTGAGATTTGACTGGTTTAATGGTTGACACGTCTTTATGTTGGATCAGAGGTCCTTCGCCGTCATTGTGTGGCAACACACAGCTGTCTGTCGAATGTTGTGTACCAAGTTGTCAGCAAGCTGGAGCACTAGGACAAAAGACATAGGCACTCTAGTAGAGTACATTTAAGATATAGATGTAAAGTTTAAACAAGGCAAACGTTTTGTTGACGACAGAAACCCACAAGTTAATGTTTCTCCAGACCAGTTTTGAAACTGAAAGTGAAAGTAAAAATGAGATTTAGGAGACTTAGGAGATTTAGCTCACTCAAAAATGAATCATTCACTGTCCTTACTCTGTCATCCCAAACCTCGTGTGTGCAAAATGTGATTAAAAAAAACCTACTGATTGCTCTTTTCCAACAAATAATAAGAAAAAGACTTGATCAAGTATTTATTTTTCAAGCAAAACCCACAAAGGTATGGTGTGGTGACAAGAATGGTCTTTTTTTTTTTTGGTCAGACTCCAGAAGAGTTGGAAGATGACTCTGACTTTGAGCAAGAAGACTATGACGCCCGTAGCCGCACCAGCGTACAGACAGAAGATGACCAATTGATTGCTGGACAGAGCGCAAGGGTGAGTGACTCCTACGTGACATATAAACAACATCTCCTGTTCCTGCTGTCATTTCCAGCAGGTTTACTCTCACAATACAAAACACTTATCACTCCACTGAGCGTGTCTGCTCTAAAATGACGTCTAGTCTTAGAATAACAAGAGGGCCAGTCACTCAAGTGCATGCACACAACGTGTCTCTCACTTTTTCAACAACAAAAAATTATTTAGCCTCTGCTGCAAATGATGGTATGAATGTTTTTGTTGATTTCCGTCCCTCAATACTCAACACTGCAGTTACAATGAATACTGATGATCACACTTTACATCAGTTCTGTCGCATGGCATCTAACAGCTCTATTTTTTTCAATATTTAACATAGCAGGGGAGCAGACGTGTGTGTTTGAGTCCTCCATATATGAACATTTTTGGTACCAGTTAAAGAGAAACTCTCTGCATAGACTGTAACTGTGAAAATAAGGCTTTATTGAAACTATTGAACTTCCTATGTAGGGGCATTTTAAGGCATCTTACACTCTCAAGAAAAAAAAAAAATGCATGGACCCTTTAGGTACAAAGGTTGGTGGACAAAGTAAGAGACATGTTATTTGGGTAACACTTTATTTCGATAGTCCACTTTAGACATTCTATTAACAGTAAGTAACTTTGTAACTACATGTCAACTAGCAGTTAGTCGAGTATTAGTAGACTGTCTGCTTAACACTTAAGACTATCTTCTAACACTTTCTTTGTCAACTTATTCTACTAACCCTAAACCTACCCTAACAGTCTACTCTGAGAGTTAGTAGACATGTAGTTGCAAATTAATGAGAATTAGTTGACATGTAGTTACAAAGTTACTTATAGTTAATAGAATGTCTAAAGTGGACTATCGAAATAAAGTGTAACCGTTATTTGTATTCCTTCAATACAGCAAAGCAGAAAATAAGTCTAATTAAAAAAATGCCTTTTTAACCTGACCTTTTAGCTTAGCAACATGCTAATGGCAGATTTTGTATAAATAAATTGGGATTCGTCGAGTCTACATTGCACGTCAAATTGCTCACAATCGAGTTGCTGCCTATGTAGAATGTTAGCTCACTTCTAAGGTTCCATTTTGGAATGTAGGTTTTGAAACAAAGCCTAGATATTAAGCTTCAATATAGCAGGGGAGCATGCTCCCATTCCCAGAAGAAAATTCTTCATACAAGAATCATTTTGGTTGTAGTTTCGTAAACTCTCTGCAGAGACTGTAGTAGTTAAAATATGATTGCAAATGAGACTTCTGGCAGTGTCACCCCCTTAGTGTGCGTGTGTCAGCCGGCGTTTGACAGCAAAGCTCACTGGGGTTTGAGGCTTAATCCACATTAGTGTATGTGTGAATAGTGCACAGTGGGCTGCTTATGAGACATTACAAGGATATCAGTATGTAGCCGTGGAGTACCGCTGACTTTCACACGCAAATACACACCATAACCCTGTTTGATACCAATTACTCTTGAGAAGGAATTATCTTCCATGAATGAGAGGAAATGATCATTTGTATAGAAAAAAAGACAAGGCTAAAAGAAATGCTGCTGCGGAGAAGAAAAACAGGGTAATTTCTTAAGAACAGCAACAAATTGACAATAAAAAAAAAAGGACCGAGGAAAAACATTTTGCTCAGTAGTACACTTGGTTCAGTGGAGTTCAAGTGGCGTCTTGTGCGGTGCTGAATGTTACATTGAGTGAATGTGTTTTTGCAAATCAAATATGCGTGTCACTACTGCTGTATTGATATAGTCTGTGACTTTAAGTTTTATGGATTTTGAGTTATCATAAGAGAGAAATAAGAGCATCCATTTGTACACTGACTCACACTTTCAGACAGACGCATAAAGACACTGCTCTATCTCTTAGCCCCATGATAGGATAACAGTGCTGATAGGTCAGCCATAAAATTTAACTAGTATCTAGGCCACTTTATTTCAAATGAGAAAAATTTAAAAGCTTTTCTGAGGGATTTCTAATCCAGAAGCACACACACGTACACGTACACACGCAGACAGTTCAGCACACAATATGAGTGCGTTGAATGAATCGGCACAGGTGCGTATGGGGAAGGATTTGTTGGAGCATTAAGCTGCCTGCACCCTCTCTTGTTATCGGTTAGGAGCCAGAGAGATTTGGGATAAGTGAATTCTGAGCAAGGCAAGAGGAAGAAATAGGCTCTCTCCTTTCTATTTACCTTCTTTCCATACATCACATCCATTCTTAGGACCAGAGGAGTTGGGATTAAACATGTAGCAACTCATTAATGCTGATTGGCTGCTTCAAAGGCATGTAAAGAGCTGATTGGCTCTTGGAATGGGTATGTTACTGATTAGACGCACAGGTGGTAGAACAGTGCGGTAATCACGTCTAAGCAAAAAAAGAGACAACCTTAAATTTTAAAAATGAACTTTAAATTAGTTTTAATCATAACCAGGCAGGCATTCATTTACAATATAATCCCTTCAACCGCTTTTTGAGATGCCATCGCAGTTATGTGGAATATCAAAGGCAGTGAATGATACAATGCTTATCCTTATATTTTTTCGGACAACAACCACCATTGCATCAGCCCTCTATTTGAAATGCCCCTAGAGTGCACACTACATGGAAAAATAAATCATTTTCATCTTTTAATCACATTTTCTCCAAGGACTTCTTTTCTTTTTAGTGTGTAATTGCTTGTTAAATAAACAAGGTGCGTATGGGGAAGGATTTGTTGGAGCATTAAACTGCTTGCACCCTCTCTTGTTATCGGTTAGGAGCCAGAGAGATTTGGGATAAGTGAATTCTGAGCAAGGCAAGAGGAAGAAATAGGCTCTCTCCTTTCTATTTACCTTCTTTCCATACATCACATCCATTCTTAGGACCAGAGGAGTTGGGATTAAACATGTAGCAACTCATTAATGCTGATTGGCTGCTTCAAAGGCATGTAAAGAGCTGATTGGCTCTTGGAATGGGTATGTTACTGATTAGACGCACAGGTGGTAGAACAGTGCGGTAATCACGTCTAAGCAAAAAAAGAGACAACCTTAAATTTTAAAAATGAACTTTAAATTAGTTTTAATCATAACCAGGCAGGCATTCATTTACAATATAATCCCTTCAACCGCTTTTTGAGATGCCATCGCAGTTATGTGGAATATCAAAGGCAGTGAATGATACAATGCTTATCCTTATATTTTTTCGGACAACAACCACCATTGCATCAGCCCTCTATTTGAAATGCCCCTAGAGTGCACACTACATGGAAAAATAAATCATTTTCATCTTTTAATCACATTTTCTCAGAGGACTTCTTTTCTTTTTAGTGTGTAATTGCTTGTTAAATAAACAAGCAAAAAGCTACAAATCTTAAATGAGCAGCTGGCTCTTAATTAGATCTTATGTTATGACATCCTTTTGGCTATGATGGCGTATCTCCACTAAATTCAGACAAAACTGTGGAAAAGCTCATCTCTGTCAAACTACAAATTCCGACTTGTATGACACAGACTTTTGCAAAACCCATCTTTCTCAGTAATCACGCACTTAATGACATCTAGAGTCCCCAGCTTTGGTCTGGTCCGTCCGCTCGGACAGAATGTTGAACAAATGCATAATTAATTGACTGGTGTAAGAAGTGAGGTAATCATACATCTATCTCACAAATAATACTGCGCCTTAACGGTGCCTGTGACCTTGCAAAGAGATTAATGCCCTTTTGGACTGGCTCAGAATCGCTACGGAGTGAAAATTTATTCCTTGACAAGGAGAGGGGGAAAGAAAAGAGGATGGATTTTCTCTTTATGAGCATGAGATGTCATGGGGTTCCAGAAGGTCTTATGATTAAGTGTTAAGTTTCAAAACCTTATACAGAGGCATTTCAGTGGGGTTGAATAAAGTCAATCTAAATGGAGGGTACTTTCTTTTCAAACTTTTAACCAGAAACAAGGGCATGTGTTGCGGGGGGGGGGAGCTATTTTAATGTGTCTAATTGATCTTTATCTTGTGTCATACCACTACCCCCCAGGCTATCATGGCTCAGCTGCCTCAGGAAGAGAAGGCCAAGATTGCTGAACAGGTGGAGAGTTTCAGGCAGGAAAAGTGTAAGCTGGACGCAGAGGTCGCCAAGTGGGACGACAATGGAAACGACATCATCGTGCTGGCCAAGCAGATGTGTATGATTATGATGGAGATGACTGACTTCACCAGGTACATCCATCCACATGTCAACAATAAGAATGCTGGAAACATCAGACAGATAACATGATAATATGAAGCTGAGGGCTCTAGTATCAACTTGAAGGGGTACTAATATGCACCCTTTAGCTGTAAATAAGGTACAGATGTGTACCTTTTGAAAGTGTTACGCCCCACTTTTCTGAGAATGTAGCTGCTTGTGTTTCTTTAGTTTCTTCTTATTGGGGATTTACTAGCATATGTTGGGGGATTGCTTGCTTTCTGTGCAGCTTGCGTTCTGCCGTTTTGAGGAATCAGCTAATAGAGTAACAATCTGGGTTTTTGTGTTTTTTGCAGAGGCAAAGGCCCTCTGAAGAATTCCTCTGATGTGATCAATGCCGCAAAGAAAATCGCAGAGGCTGGATCCAGAATGGACAAGCTTGCCCGTGCTGTGGCTGACCAGGTCAGAATACCATTTTTTTCCCATTTGTCTTCCTCTATGCATCTCTTTGAGGATGTGAGATCAAAGCCCTGTGTTGTGTTTAATATAATGAGCTCCTATGAGGTGTTGAATTTATTATTAGATGAGCACCATCTTCAGAACCTGCTGACTGACACTTTTTAACAGTTAATCAACTCTACTACTTGTAAAGAAAAGAAAGGCAAAGGATGTGCCTATGAGTGTGTCAGTGCATGTGTTGATGGCAGCTACTATATCATGCACCATCTGGTTCTTTCCTGCTACTGTATGTAGTGCACTTTCATGTTCTCATATGCACTTCTTTTTCCCCAAGTCATAGTTTTATTTGCTCATAATTAAGTAACCATATGGATCATCTGCAGAGGCTTGATTGTGAATTTGGAAATTGTTGGAAATGAGCCAAACTGCCTACCACCCTGCCTATTTGGGTGAGAAGATAAACTTGGTAGTGAGGGCTGAAAGACTCGCAGAGTTGTTTGTGGTTTTAGTCAAAGGCAAAATGTTGAGTTCTGACTGGTAAAACGTTGAACAAATGCATAATTCATTGACTGATGTAAGAAGTGAGGTAATTATACATTTATCTCACAAATAATACTGCGCCTTAACGGTGCCTGTGACCTTGCAAAGAGATTAATGCCCTTTTGGACTGGCTCAGAATCGCTACGGAGTGAAAATTTATTCCTTGACAAGGAGAGGGGGAAAGAAAAGAGGATGGATTTTCTCTTTATGAGCATGAGATGTCATGGGGTTCCAGAAGGTCTTATGATTAAGTGTTAAGTTTCAAAACCTTATACAGAGGCATTTCAGTGGGGTTGAATAAAGTCAATCTAAATGGAGGGTACTTTCTTTTCAAACTTTTAACCAGAAACAAGGGCATGTGTTGCGGGGGGGGGGAGCTATTTTAATGTGTCTAATTGATCTTTATCTTGTGTCATACCACTACCCCCCAGGCTATCATGGCTCAGCTGCCTCAGGAAGAGAAGGCCAAGATTGCTGAACAGGTGGAGAGTTTCAGGCAGGAAAAGTGTAAGCTGGACGCAGAGGTCGCCAAGTGGGACGACAATGGAAACGACATCATCGTGCTGGCCAAGCAGATGTGTATGATTATGATGGAGATGACTGACTTCACCAGGTACATCCATCCACATGTCAACAATAAGAATGCTGGAAACATCAGACAGATAACATGATAATATGAAGCTGAGGGCTCTAGTATCAACTTGAAGGGGTACTAATATGCACCCTTTAGCTGTAAATAAGGTACAGATGTGTACCTTTTGAAAGTGTTACGCCCCACTTTTCTGAGAATGTAGCTGCTTGTGTTTCTTTAGTTTCTTCTTATTGGGGATTTACTAGCATATGTTGGGGGATTGCTTGCTTTCTGTGCAGCTTGCGTTCTGCCCGTTTTGAGGAATCAGCTAATAGAGTAACAATCTGGGTTTTTGTGTTTTTTGCAGAGGCAAAGGCCCTCTGAAGAATTCCTCTGATGTGATCAATGCCGCAAAGAAAATCGCAGAGGCTGGATCCAGAATGGACAAGCTTGCCCGTGCTGTGGCTGACCAGGTCAGAATACCATTTTTTTCCCATTTGTCTTCCTCTATGCATCTCTTTGAGGATGTGAGATCAAAGCCCTGTGTTGTGTTTAATATAATGAGCTCCTATGAGGTGTTGAATTTATTATTAGATGAGCACCATCTTCAGAACCTGCTGACTGACACTTTTTAACGGTTAATCAACTGTACTCCTTGTAAAGAAAAGAAATGCTAAGGATGTGCCTATGAGTGCTGGCATGTGTTGATGGCAGCTGCTATATCATGCACCACCTTCGTTCATTCAGTATGTAGTGCACTTTCATAAAATATTATGCACTTTTTTTCCAAGTCATAGTTTTATTTGCTCATAATTAAGTAACCATATATGGGTAGATTTTAAAAGGCTTAGTTGTGAATTTGACGAGTGTTAAAAATGAGAAAAACTTGAAATTGCTGGAAATGAGCAAACCTGTCTACCACCCTGCCCATTTGGGGAGAAGACAAACTTGGTAGTGAGGGCTGAAGGTGTTGCAGAGTTGTTTGTGGTTTTAGTCAAAGGCAAAATGTTGAGTTCTGACTGGTAAAGCAGGTATGAAGTCAGCTTTGTTGCTGTCCAGCTGACAGACCATGGTGAGGGACTACCAAGAGATCACAGCTAACCAGGAGTGCGGCTGTTTTGTGTGCAGACACGTTTAGACTTCTATCTTTGGTATACAATGGGGATGTAGTGAGAGCACATGACTGGAAACAATATAGTATTGGAGAGAAAATAAAAGGAAATTTGAACTAGCATTCTGCATGTTATCGTCACACAGGTAGAGTTACGGCTCAATAAATTACCTGAGAGCTACTCCAATAAAGAGTTGCATGGATGACATATTTTTGTAGGCCAAAACCCAGAAACGTGTTAGCATTTTAATACTTCTGGTTAACAAAAGCACAATAAATTCCATGTTTTAATTATTATTATTCTACAACAGAAAATATATCAGTAATGTGATTTTTTTTTTCTTTTACTTTTACTTAAAGCCAGTTGCTAACAAGTGGTTAAATGGAAGTGCATAGATTGGAAAAATCCTATTGGGAATCAGGGTGCCTGTAAAAATACGTCATCACTGTAGCACTCTCTAGGACAGCTCTATACTACAGTACTAACTAATAAGCCACTCCTACCTTACAAAAACCTACCTATTTCCCCTAATATCACTTCCTGAATAACAGTTTTGGTAGGAAAAACAAGGTTTTGGTAGGTTTTTTGGTACTACAGTATATGGGAATGGCCCTTTTGTTGTCATCAACACTGGGAGACTGATCAAAAAGATACAAGAAGCCTGAAACCTGCTGTGTCACCACTGGCCAGGCCTCATGTTGTTTTTGTTGTTTTCTTACCGTATTTCTTTTCCCTTAGATAAAGGGAAAAGAGTGAGGTGGAACCTGATCACACTGCTGATCACAGTGTAATCCGAGTGTACTAGCACATCGGAGATGGCCAGACAGTTCCTGCTTTCCAAAACAGAACACCCCTCCCTTCCCTTCAGGCCACTGTGTTCCGCCCATAGCAGCAATCCATTCTCTAAACTGCCACATGTTGTGTTTGTTGGGTATTCTGAACAGGTGGCTTGACTTGTTCCTTATCGAACCTTTTTCCCACTAACACAGTATTTACATCTAATGGCCATCTGGGGCTTACAGGACTCATCAAGGGACTGTATTCATTTCAGAAAGAATCTCTGAGTAGGCGGTGTAAAACAGAACCGGGTGCTCAATAATCAAGCTGCTCCTCAGTGCTGGAAAAGACAAAACAATTCAGAAACAAAAGCATAGCATCATAGGCTATGCTTAATTTACTGTATATAAAGCTTTGGATGTTTCGGTGCACAGTAAGTTAAATGTAAAATGGTGGAATATTGTACAGCCGTGGTTGTCAAAAACAATGCTAATTGCAACTAATCATATAACAGCTGAAACAAGACTTTAAAAGGAAGAACTTAAAAGGAAGTGCATGTATTTCGGTGAAAATATCTGCCTAATTTGGTTACGTTCTACAAAACGACAGACTAACATGGATGCAACTGGAAAGAAAATGTGACCATGCCTACAGTTCAGCTGATATTAATATATTTCAAATAATATTTTAAAGACATTTTGTTTTAAAGCAGTTTTTAAAGCTTCTTTATTTTCAAACCTGCAGTGGTGTGTGTGGTCATGACAGCAGTCAGCCCTCCTCAGAAACATACTCTTACAACTCCTGTAATTGCTGCACTTGACACGGCAGACCTAAAGCTGCTTGGGCCCTGGAGGCGAGAAAAGAGGATTCTATACTTCTCCTTTTCCCCCTTGCCATCCTCCGGCACAGCGAGAGGTTGCCTCCTGAAGAGAGACACTCGATCGCTAAACGCTAAGGACATTACAGCTGCTCAGCCGTGTCAAAGATAAAGCAGCTTCAACAGTTATTGAATGTGTCTCATCAGTCTTTTTCACTCAAAGTTCATGTGACGCTAAGGGAGCAAAAATTGTAGCCAACTATTTGACAACTTCTGACAGGACTTATTACTTTAAGCAAAGTCACTGAGTTAACCGTTGTGTTAGAAGTGTGTCAAAGCGGTAATCTTGTTTTGGCATGCAAGGTACTGTATGTGCAAAATTAGTATTTTTCCAAAATGTCTTAACATTAAATGGAAAGTGAGTGGGAGACAGAAACGGCACAGGGGTCGTTCTTACATGTAAATGCACTACATAGAATGAACCTATATGTAGAAAAATAGACAAACATTTTCTTATTGACAAATTATTCACATTACAGTTTTGACGTTTTACATACAGCAGATCTATATTCCAGATATATTCGGAGGATGGGCATATGCTAACACATTTAGGATTTGTGTGCTTATAAATAGTTATCAAAACAGTTAAAGTCAGTTAAATGATATAAATAAAGGCAAGTAAAACTGGTCTGATCTCAATGCAAAGTCTGTACACATTACCAGTTCTATTAGCTGAAGTCCTGGCTTATGAATATTACGAAGTTTGTGACTGCAGGAAGGTTAACACAGCAACATAATCATGGCCTAATTAATATTCATGAGATAAGCAATCACTGTGTCATCACATCAAAAAACAGTCCATGCATCTCTCCCCACAGGCTTCAAAACATTTAAAGGAAATTAGGGATGCTTTATTTACTGTAATACGGGCAGGTGTCCATTATTAAATGTTTCCCCAAACCCTCAGGGATGAGAAGTACTTTCCATTTCGTTTTGCTTGTTTACTACTGTGCTTTATATTTATGTGAACAGTTTTCCTATTAACAAAATAAACAATCGCAGGAGATTTACACCTAGGCCTGGGCGATAAAACGGTATCGATATTTATCGACGGTACACCTTCTTCGATAACGATATAAAAAATGTTCGATATAGTACAGGATATAGGCACGTGCTATGAGTGACGCAGACAGTACAAACAAACACGAACATGAGTGCTGTGCCTGCCTGTGATGAGGAGATTGTGAGTAAAAAAATGAATATTAGTAGAATTTAAAGGGGTCATATGATGCGATTTCATTTTTTCCTTTCTCTTTAGAGTGTTACAAGCTCTTGGTGCATAAAGAAGATCTGTAAAGTTGCAAAGACTAAAGTCTCAAATCCAAAGAGATATTCTTTATAAAAGTTAAGAGTTAGCCACACCTACCTAAAACGGCTCGTTCGAACACGCCCCCACATACAGTGGGGCAAAAAAGTATTTAGTCAGCCACCAATTGTGCAAGTTCTCCCACTTAAAAAGATGAGAGAGGCCTGTAATTTTCATCATAGGTATACCTCAACTATGAGAGACAAAATGAGAAAAAAAAATCCAGAAAATCACATTGTAGGATTTTTAAAGAATT